TTTGGAATGTCATATTTGTGTGTAGTTTGCATGTTTTTCTCGAGTTCAAAAATATATAAGTTCACAAATTTCTTTAGGGGTTAAATTTAAAATATGTTAATTAAAAACACAGAAATTTAATTCTTAAATTTCGTTTTGTATATTCTGTCCTTTTAAAATTGCATGCATATTCCTGTAGTTTTCCATTTAAATTGTCTATGATAGGATTATTGTTTTTAAGAAATAATGTCCAATTTATAGGTAACACAAAAGTGTTGTTACAATACTTAGTTAAATATAACACTGAGAATTTTTTTTTTATCGTAATTAGTTGAAATGTAAAATAAGTAATAATAAATATTAATCTATTACGGATTGGGATCATTATAGTTTCCTTATTTATAGTTTATATAATATAATATAAAAACTTGATTATAAAGTACTGAAATAAAATGCATAAAAAAAATTCCAGACTTCAAGCACTATTGTTGTAAAATATATGGTTATAATTCAAATCTAATAATTTATCAATTCTTACAATTTAATGTTTTGAATGTAATTTAGGGTTTCAACTAATTTTTAACTAATACTATATTTTTCTATGATTTAAAAAAGAAATTTTAGACTAAATTTAGTTATCATTATTTCACACTTTTTTACCAAAATGCATACTCTGATTATCAAGTATAGCACTATCTCTGGGTGGTTTTTTAAAGAGGTTATTTTTTGAAATTCCATTAATATTCAAAAAAATGAGAAAAACTTGGTTCTTCAATTTAAAAAATATTGAAATATTTAAAATAAAGTTATCATTGGCAACCTTGGTTTTTATTTATATTTTGTTAATAGTATATAATGTATAGTATAATTAATATTATACTTTAATATGGCATGTATATTGTTGACAAAGCATCACTATCAACTGAACTACTTAGAAATTGTTTATTGTTGCTTACAGATATACTGTTAATAGATTATTAAATTCCCTTCTGTATCTTAACTTCCAAACTTCCAAACTACAACAGTTGCTGTACTCACATACAAAGTTGCCAGTACTTTTTTTTTATATTGATATTTTATTATATATAGAAAAGCCTCCATAAAAAATGTTAATAGTCTTAAAAATCTATTTTGTAAATTACATAATTATTATTATGTAATAACTAAAGTGTCCATTCTTGACATTTTATATTATTTTATTTTAGAAATCTTAATGATTCTGTTATTAAATAATACAAATAATTAAAAACAAAATTAATTTCAATTAAAAAATATCAAATTTAATTTAATGAAACAATTGTAGCATTATCAAAGGGAGAATCATAAGCACTAAGTGGCAGAGGAAAAAGTCACCTTGGACTGGTGATGCTTATAAAAAAACTTGAAAAAGAAAAAAAACAACTGTTAGCTCATAAAAATGTATTAGTTAACATTAATGGTTATCACACACAAGGAGTTATGGAGAGTTTATTTGAAGCATTACAAGCAGGGACTTCATTTGGTTCAAATCAGAGACCCAGAATGTGGGCTCCAATGTGTGGAAATTTATTAAGTTATTTTATATTTCAATAAATAAATTATTAAATAGATATCATAACTACTAGAACATTTTAACTTTTAATGTATGATTATAATAATATATATATAATTTTTTACTAAGATGATAAAAGAGCTTCAATATTATATTCTAATAGAGCAGAAAAGTCTATTTTTACGGAACGAGATTACCAATCACAAGAATTCAAAATTAATTATTAGTGAAATTTTAAATTTTGTCCCTTCCATTATTACACTGAACTGTATTAAATAAAATAAATAAAATTATAGTTCTATGTTCTATTTTGATTCAAAATATAGTATTTATGAAAAGGCTGTTTATGTTAAACAATTTTTTCTATGATTTTTGTTGTACAAATTATTTTGATATATTAAGTGAAACATATTTTTGTTTGTCTGTTTTTAATTTGTCATGATAAATTGTTATAAAAGAATTAAAAAGCCCATATATTTAATATAATAATTAATGAAAACTCTTTTTATAAAGTAAATTGTATTATTGCTCAGTTATATCAAATTAAATTAATTACAATTTAATTATGAATTATAAGAAATTATTTTAATATTTGTTTTTTATTTTTATTTATACTATCATTATTATTATTATCTTTTTTTTTCGGTGTTAAATTTTATTTAAAATATAAATTCTAGTATTTATATATATATATGTATTTATTATTGTATAATAATCTGATCAAGTAAAATACTAAAAAAATATTTTTATTTTTAACATATTATTAAATGTCGTCAAACTTCTACATCAAAAATGTGAAAATGTCAATGCTTATTTGATTTTATAAGACCTTTTGTCTGCATATCTTATTTTGCATTTATTAAAATTATTATTTAATAAACAGTGCACTAATTTAATAATTATAATTGAAATGTAATAATTCTCATATTTCTGTTTCATCAAATAATAATATAAAACCATACTGATTATTCATATTTATTATAATTAATTCTGTTAAATACACAGAACTGAAAATAAATATACTGAATAACTGAAACTAAATATTTATATTATGAAAGATTTAACATAATATGTAGCAAAATTATAATAATCAATTTTCTTAATCATCTATATTGTTGTGAATTATTATATTTTTGTTTGTGATTTTGTGCCTATCTAAAGAGGTACGTGCATATGTATTCATGTTGGAACTATATTCATGTACATATTTCAACTGTTAAATGTAAATATTATCGGTAAATAAATTTCTTGAAGAGTATGTACCTACACTTAAAACCTATACCTACTAATAGTTTTAATTCAGGTTAGATAAATTTACTTTAATCAACAGAGTTTAATTTCCCAATTATTTTGAAAACCTTATAGAACATTAGAAAAATTGAATTTCTAATACATAACTAAATTTCCTTTCAGAAAAGATATCTACACTCTACCTTTAACATGAGAGCTAAATTATTTTTCTGAAAGTTGTTTACATACAGAAAAAAAAATACGCCCTTTTAAAACCAATAAATTCCTCCCTACACTCCAAATTTAAAATAAATAAGACCAATGGGGAAAGGGCTAAACCTAATGAACTCTTTCCTTCCTCATGATTACTCCATGTCCTCAGAACAACAGAAGTCTCCGAATAAGAACATATTTCCAGTGATCAAGAGTAAGAAACAAGAATTAATTTCATTTTTTAAAAAATTTTGAACTGCTTTAAATAAATACATTAATCGTGTTTAAGAATTTTTTTTATTTTAATATTGAAACACTGAACACAAAGTATCTTAAAATAACATATTTTAATAGTTTTTTTTAAAAAACTTACAACTGTCTTAAATTAATACATGTATCATGATTTTATTTATATATTTGCAATCTTTTATTGTTAGAAATAAGTAAAATATTTTAAAATTTCTTGAAATAGAAAGTCTCTTTTCTAATTACTTATAATTGCTTTAAAATAATACATAAAACTATACAAGTTCTGTTTTTTTATTTGAATATTATCAGTAAACACAAAATGTGTCTTAAAATTGCATAATAAAATAAAGTTTGTTTTAAAAAACATTTACAACTGTAATAAATACATGAAAAATGATAGTTTTTTATTTTAATATTGACACTGAACACAAAAATTATCTTAAAATTACATGATATAATTAATTTTGTTTTTAAACATCTTTAGAATTGCATAAGATCTTAAAATTACATGAAAATAGTTTTTTTTAAAAAATTTTCTTTTTACTTTTAAGTACATTATAAACATATATAAAACTGTAAATATTTTATTTTTTATTTTAATATTGACACTGAACACAAAAATTATCTTAAAATTACAAATTATAAATAAATTTATCTTAAAATTACAAATTATAAATAAATTTTGTTATTAAAAACATTTACAACTACCTTAAATAATTATGTAAATCGTGTTTTAATTTAAAAATTTAGATTCTATTATTGTTAGAACTGATTAAAAATATATCTTAAAATTACAAATTATAAATAAATTTTGTTATTAAAAACATTTACAACTACCTTAAATAATTATGTAAATCGTGTTTTTATTTAAAATGTAGGTTCTATTATTATTAACTGACTCAAAACATACAGTGTACTCCCAATTATCCGCTGTCTTCCATGGAATCGTCTACATACCTATATGTATACAAAAAAATATATACGTATTGTATCTTTCCATTATAAATCATTATAGGTTTAATTGGGTGACTGATTTTTATGCACATAAATAATTTATAATTTTTATTAAGTTGTATTATTATAAAGTGTATTTTTTTAATTATACACACGTTATAATAATTTTCAATTTCAATTTCCAATTTAGTTTTTATTATAAAATTTAATTTTGTGGATTATCTGCGGAATTCATTTATCCGTGGATATCCTGCCATCCTATTCCACGGATAATCGGGAGTACACTGTATTTTAAAATTTCTTGAAATAAGAAGTGTTTTTTTTTAACTACTTACTTCATTAAATGAATACACAAAACTGTAAATAATCTGTTATTTGTTTTTGCACTTTTATTTTGTTAATATTAGTCCTGAATAAGAAATGTATCTTAAAATGAATATTTTTATATTTTTAAAGACTATAAATTGAACACAAATGAACACATAAGAAAAAAGACCTGTTCTTAAACCAATATTAACATGTATTATTAAGAAAATACACAGGCTACTAAATTATTTATTACAGTTAATAATTATTTGGCATTAAGATATTTTAAATTGATTTTAAATGTTGTGGGTAACTTGCAAACATTAAAAGCATTGTAAATAGAGATATGGGAGATATTAGATGTATTGAAAATTATATTACAAGAAAATTAGATTCATAATGAAAATAAACATTATACAATTATTATGATACATTAAAGTAAAACAAATTAGTTAATTTGAATTAAGTATAGAATGTCACATACAAATTTAAAAATGTCATAAAAATAAATTGTTCAAGTTTCAATGTTTTAGCAGTTTTGTCTGGAAAAATTCAATGATTCTATCATCAACAATTTGAAAATTTAATGTTTAATAAATTGTATTAGAGATATGCAAACTTGAATTAAGTCTTTTCCTTATACTTGTGTGTATTATTAACTTATAGGTGATCATTAAAATTAATTTTGTAAGTACCAACATATTAAACAACACAAGAATGAATAATAAAAAAAATTAAAATTTTTTACATTGTACAAGACCTCACAAACTAAAAACTGTAATCATATATATTGAAAATTTTAATTGTATGAAATAAATGTACATACAAATAATATAGACCCGTCTCTGAATATTTAATATAAAGAACTAAATAAGCATAAAAGAAAAAAAATGTATTATCAAATTATAGTTAGCCTTGTGGTTTTTATACTAATACATGCTTATGGTTTTAATGTAAGAAGAATGCAAGTCTTATATTCCATGTTCCAAATTTGCTTATGGTATTATTTGTTCAAGGGGCAAAGATGATCCTCTCAAAACATGATCCACATTCTCTTGATTTGTCAATATCTTAGGTACATTTCTGTGTTCTGTTTCATTACATTCTTTTATTAAAATATTTTTGTTAGGAATGCCATTTATAGGTGCATCAACTTCTCTATTATTTACAGTTTCTGATAATAATCCATTATGATAAAATGATAACTGTTCAAAATCAGCACGAGCACAGGGCAATAATCTTCTCACTAGCTCATTAAATGTAGGCCGATCTGAAGCTTTAAAACACCAACAGAGTTTCATAAAATCATATAACATGTCTGGACAACCATCTGGTTTTTCCATAATACCACCACCGGTTACATATGATATAACATCCTTGTCATTTTCATCCTAGGAAAAAGAAGTTTTTATGTAAAAAAAAAAAACACATTTATATAATGTTATATCTACAGTATAAGGATGAGTTCCTAGTGTGGCTATCTCCCACAATACAACACCGAAGCTCCACACATCAGAAAAACAAGTAAAAAGTCCAGTGTGAAGACTTTCTGGAGCCATCCATCTGATTGGCATCATACCTGTAGAATCTAAAATTAAATTAACATACATATAAATATAACAAAGAGATTGAAAATAATGATAAACATTTACTTTCTTTATAATACTCAGTCTGATAAACATCTCTTGCAAGACCAAAACCTCCAACTTTAACTACATTGTTGGCACTAACTAGGCAATTTGAAGCTGATAAATCTCTATGAACATATTTTTTGAATGTAAGGTATGCCATTCCATCAGCAATTTCAATAGCCATACGTAAAATATCCTATTAATAAATAATTTATATTAGAAACTCATTGTAAATTAATTTTAATAAATTTAAATACTGTTAATGTTGGAGCAGCAAAACAAAAGCCATCATCATGTTCTAGACAGTGTAAGCGCAAAAATGATTTAAGATCACCCTGTTCCATGTATTCTGTTAGAATAAATACTGGATCATTTTGTGATACAACTCCATAAAGACGAACAACATGAGTTGCACAAAAGTCCCTTTAGAAATATACACAGATATAAAGATATATTTATATTTATAAAAACATATGTAACACACATGAATAATTCTAATATTTACATTAGATTTTTATTTGTTAAAACTTACTTCATAATATTGGCTTCAGAAAGTAATTTACGGTTAAGTGCATCACTGTGGGTATCAGCAGCTTTTAAAGCACAGTGTATTATTTTATTATTATGTGTCCAATTACCACTATATACTCTACCAAAAGAACCACGAGCTATTGGTTTAATAATATCAATTTCATGTCTTGGAACTTCCCATTCATCAGGTTCATATTCTGTAAAATATTAGTTTATAATAAAAAAAAAAAAAAAATCATTAGCAGACAGTGTAACTAATATCATCTATTAATGATGTATTGAAGTAATGTAAGTGGAGAAAATTATTAGGAAAATATTTTTAAAAACCTAAAATATTTTCAAACAAATTATTCTTTAATCATTTGGGGCACACATTGTTTTTGAAAATTTTTTTCTTGGAAAATATTAAAAGTTAGCATCATATTATATACTAAAAATAAACAAAAAATAGGTGCTTTCACTATAATACCACAATGTCTCAAAGGGTTAAGCATAAAAATATTCTCTAAGAAATAAATATCAGAGAAAAATTGTTTACTATAATATTACTTAATAATAAGGCGCAAATTACATTTTTTTCTGAAAGTCCTAAAACAGTGCTTTCCAAGCACAACATTTGTTTCATGTATCAGAGAATTAAGATATTAAACTTTTATTTTGCATTTTTAGAACTTTATTATTTTTTGACTTTTTAAGTGCATTTTTAGGTTTTTAAGGCATTTGTTATTCTTTTTACATATTTCATAGTGCCATCAGAAAATTGTATACAATTTATTTTGATTTCCTCGTATAAGAAAAAAAATTATGCTTCTGTTTTTTTTAAATGTATTAGGTATAGATTTACTGATTGTACCAGATAAATATAATACTAGACTAGCTGTATTAAAGAAACTGGGGTTAGAAACTAAAAATGTTCACAGTAGGTACCTTTTATACTGTAGGCATCCACTAAAGGTCCAGGTGTAAGAAAACTATTAGTACTATGTACAGTATATTATATATTTATATAAAAGGTAACAATCGAAAACTAGTATAGGTATTATGGTGATAATGGATAATTTAAAAAAAATATAAAAATAAATGTTATTGTTCAATACTAACATAGACACATGCCATAGGAGACATGCTTCCACCCAACAGGTAGAAGGAGTAATATTCTCAAGAAGATTAAAATGCTTTATAATTGTGAGGGGAATAAAGAGGAAGCTTTCCAAGGGGTATTCATTAATTGAACTCATATAGTTGGTTTCCAAGAAGGCCGAATAGCTTGTGATGGAATGCTCCCAGTAGGTACTAATTCAGAGCAAAATGGGGGAACACACATACACTAAACTGCACATGAGCAAAGTCAAAGTAAATGCAGATTTATGTTTATCTTTATAATTTAAATAATTAAACATTTGATCCAGCAAAAACAGTGATCTGGGCTAGTATTATTATATTAAAAAAATTAAAGTTTGAAACTGTGCAATTCAAATGGTTTAGTTCAGGTTGTTATAAAAAATAGTTTAATTTAAAGTTTCTAATTCTAATAAGTAGGTATCGAATATGTAAATAAACATTTTTAACTAATTTTTGGTTAATCTTTTGTCTGTCCAAAAAACTATGAAATTCTTATTTAATTACTCATTGTAAAATGGTTATATTTCAATTTTTATATTTATAATTTATAACATTTACCATTGTGTTTGATGATTTATGATACATACACCAGTAACCTAAGATGTTGATAAGTGCCTAGATATTGTGATTTACCTAACATAACATTATAATGTATAATGTAATTTGATACTTACCCCAACTGATAGATTCTGGCTCTGATGGAATAAAATATAATGTCATTGAAGCCAATCTCTTTTTATAGTAACAACGTATAGCAATGATTATTAAAATGATTACAGCACATAATACAGTTCCAATTATCAAGACAATGAGCATTAATTCAGTGCTACTAATTGAATACATTGCCTTAAATCATAAAATGATTTTCACAAAATAATAATTATTTATAATAAAATCTAGTTAATTAACTAGTAATAATGTTATAAAATATGCATACTGTTTAAATCTTCAAATTTAGCTAAAAGCAGTACTGTGTACAGTGCACAAGTAAAAAAACTAAATGTCCAGGTGCTACGGCTGATGAAGTGATGAAACTAATCAAGATTGCTCAAAACTGTTGCATGTTTATATAAAAAAAAAAAAATATATTAACTATTAGCTATGTAAAACCAATTATTTAAAGATTACTTATTAAACTAAAAAAAATCAAACTTATTTTTTAAACTTACATGACTTCTAAATTGTTTGGTCTTCACCTGAAAGTTTACAATATTTCCAATAGTTAAAAATGTTAACCAATGTCTTAATGACACAATTTATATACAGTATTAATAATTGTAACATACGTGGTTAAGAATGGCATACCGAAGAAAAAACCTCCAAAACAATTTTTTGTTCTTTGTGTTTTTGGTATTGTTCAACAATGAGTAAGCAAAAAATGGTTTTTGTAATTTATCATTTTATTCAGCTATCACAAAAATCAGTTTGTAAACTTAACAAAAAAAAAAATACGTTTTTACTGGTCTTGTAAATAATTTCTTTTCTAACGATTTTTTTAAATGAAAAGTTAAGGAGTCACAAATATATTACCTAGTCTCTGGTTTGTGTTCATTTTAATGCATTATTGCAGTTTCAAATCCTAATGATCCTAAATAGTATTATTTTGATTAAAAATCAGTATATAACCCCATAAATAGATAATAAAAAACCAATGATTTCTTATCATGATATATTACTAACAATTTATAATATTAATTGTATTACCGCCATTAATACATAATGAAAATAATATGTATAATACATATATGTAATTTGAATCATTCAATGTAATAGAGTAGATAGTATTACATAAGCGTATTGTAAGTCAACAGTTAAAACACTCACAATTAAATCAATGTTAATACCTATTTCTATGGATGAATTAATTCTAATATATTATTAACACCAAAAAAAATTATTTATAATATCATAATTCCCATTTACCATTAAATTATTAACTATGGATCATAATTCTCATTATCCAAAATAAATACATATTAAATAATATCAATAAACTTAAATAAAAATAATAATAAGTGCAAGATATTTTTTTTAAAAACATTTCAAAATTAAACAATAAATAGTTTTCAAATTATTTTAAAATAAACAAAAACATTTTTTCGTATAGATTATTTTATATTAATTATTTATATAATAACATAATAACACTTTTTACTAATTTAAACATTAATCATATTTGTTCTAATAACTATAGCAATAATAATTTGATTATAATGTATTACCTACTAAACAAAATGTATAGGTAAGTACATATTGTATGTAAATTATTCCTGTTGTAATCATCAACAATATTCAACTTTAATATGTTAATATTAAAACATTTGTAAAACAAACTAGAATTCAATTTACAAAAATTTTTTTATTAATTTTTAAATTAAATATATATTAAATTGATCATTTGTTACATTCTTGAGTATTGAAATTAGAAAATAAAAAAAAACAATAGGTATTAACTAATTCTAAAATAGTTTCATCTGAAATTTTTGTAGGAACAGGTTTATTGTTAAATTAAACTATTTTGGTATTTTCATTCAAATTTCTCTAAAGAATGTATCAACTTTATGTATTTAATATTTATATAAAACTAATATAAAGTATAAAGTGAGATAGAATATTTATAGATAAATTAATACAATAATAACTTCTAAAATATTTTGAATATCTACAATATTAATTATTAAGGATAATTTAACAATTAAATTAGCTGCTTACTATCCCAAATATTATGTAAAAAGCATAAAGAAAAAAATAGATTATATAATAAATTATGCTATTATTGTTATTAAAACATATAAAGTAGAAATTTGGGAAAAAAATTATTTATTTTCTAATTGTTTTAATAATCTGATCATATCAGTGTCTTCAATGCATTCATAATATTTTAGCCCTTCAGGTGTTAGAAATGTAGTTGTGGCTCCCTATAAAATAATATAAATGTTATCAATGAAGTAAAATAAAAGGTGGAACAAATCTAGATTACAACCCAAGCTTGTTTTTCAAAACTTGTGTTTTTGCCTCTACATTAAGAATCTAAAAGAAAAAATTCTGATGATCTTCATTTGGAATTTATGGGAGATAACTTCATAAGTTTGGGTTTTTCGTTTGAGTATTTCATAGTTAGAATTTAACATTTTCATTTTTTTTTTAGACAAAATATGTGTTTTTTAATGCTTAATCCATGGGTATTATCAAAAGTTACCAATCATAATTACTTTTTTATTAGTTATTGATATTTTGATAACAAATTTTTTTTTATTAAAGTCAGAATAAGTCTATCTGGCTTAGATTTAGAGTTACAAACTCGCTCAGTCAATGTTAATCAAAAATAACCCTATTTGTTGTGCAAAACCACATTGAGTAAGTAACAAAGATATAAGGATTATAGGTGGGTAGGTTTATGTACAATAACTATAAAAGTAAATATGATAAATAAGTGTTGATTATACCAATAATTATAGGCATTAAAAAACACAAATTTTGTAAAAAAAAAAAAAAATTTAAATGTTAAATTATAACCAAGAAATACATAAAAAGAAACAAAAACCAGAACTTTATGAAATTTTCTCCCATAACTTCCAAACAAGGTTTGTCCTAGTTTTTTTTTTTTAATTCTTAATGTACAGGCAAAAACACACATTTTGAAAAAAAAATTTAAATACAAACTTGGGTTGTAAACTAGATTTATACCTAAAATGCATGTTGCCTAAACAACCTAAATCAGTGGTTTCCAACCTTTTTAGGTCCATGGCTCTTCTGATTTTGAAAGCCTAATTAAAGACCCCTTTACAAATAATAGTAATAATACAAATTTAAATAAACAAATTTACTGTAATACTGTAATATTTTTACTATATATGTGACATCTTTGATAATAAATCATGAAAGCAGGTTGAAAACCACTGGCCTAAATAACAACCATATCTATGCAAGCCATAGGCAAACCAGTCAGACAACAGAGTAGGATCATTAACAGCCATAAAAATGATAAATTTTTAATTTGTGCTGTGGATACTTGGTTGTTTAGGCAAAGTATATTTTGTATATCAACAAACATATTATATTACCTTATCAATTAAATATTTAGCAACACTTAGATGATTCTCCCATAGAGCACATAATAATGGAGTGATGCCAAAATTGTCTTTCTTCTAATAACATAAAAACAAATAAATAATTAATTTAAAATATAATTGTTTATTTATTTTATGGTGAAAATAATAAATAGTTAGATTTGATACATTTTATTTTATACTTTAAACATTGAACCACCGTTTTTTGCAATTAATCCATTGATAAAATATGATTTTTCATATTAGGTACTATTAGTTGAAAACATTTTTGGTATAATAAAAAAAACAAAAAACAAAAAGCTGTCCTAGGATAATAGGGAAGAGTGCAGCCACTGTTATGGGTAATTTAATGTATACCTGTAAGCACCGATAAATCATTGCTAACAAAAAACAATTTTTAGGGAAGTCCAGTTGATAGTGTTGTTTTTTCAACAATATATATGTCATATGTCCTATGTTTTTTCTTAGTTTTTCACATTTGCTGGGAAAACTCTTGGTAAAATCGAAAAATGGCCTCCATAAAGTATCTTCCCACACACACACCAATTTTCTTTCATAAAAGGTGCTACACTTAAAAATCAGATTAAGATTTCTGGTTGAAAAGTTGTGTACAAATAAAAAAATAAAATAAAAATTTTTGTAAAACCATAAAATTATTCGCTCCACCTAGAATTTAAAATGACTGTCTATAAATTATAAAGATTTGAAGGTATTTATGCATTTTTTTAAGAGTACTCTACACCCACATCATCTACTATCTTAGTCTAATTAATAGGTAAATTAAAAAAATTACACTACTTAAAATATAAATTGTGGTATTAAGGTTGAAATAAATTAGAATATTACCATAAACAACAGATAAGAAGACAGCAAAAAAAAAAATAAAGTGCATGTAGTCTTCAGAAATATCAAACTTTTAAAATTTTGTAATTAATTCTAATTTCAACTTAAACACAACAATTTATCTATTTTAATAATATTACAAAGTATATAATGAAATATGTGAAATAAAATACCTAAAAAATTACACAATGTTAATTATTTATATGTCATATACTATAGATTATCCACAGTCTTCTGCAGATGGAATATGTACATACAAAAAATATAATAATATAAAATATGTAAATCATTATAGCTCCATGAATTGGTCTAATTAGGTTTGCAATAACAGCAATTTCAATTTATTTTCGTTACCTATAATAGAATGACCTATACACACACATCTCTTTCACCATGCATTAGAGCAGTGATCTTCAACCAGTGAGTCATGACCCATTTTTGGGTCGCTTAAGTTTAAAAATTGGGTCGCGATAAGTTTTCTTTTTAAAATAAAAATTAAATTTATACAATTATATAAAATATACAAAAAGTTGTTTAATTATCAAACTTAGAAAATTAATAAATGAAAAAACAGTTTGAAAATTATTGTGATATATTATATATAAACAATATATATATATATATATAGTTTATATTCAAAAATATAATAGTATAATGGATTTTAAATCACAGTATATGTTTCAAATAAATATTAGTCGCATTATTATTCTAGTCACATGTACGTTAAAAAGTTTTTTTTATTATTATTTTTTCAGTTATAACAGTACTACTACAAAGTATTAAGCAACTTTAGATTTTTTTTGCTGTTCCACAAATGTTTTTCTTTATGTATGCCTTATGTGGATCGGGAATAATGTACGACTAAAAAAGTGGGTCGTGAGTCCAAAAAAGTTGAAGACCACTGCATTAGAATACTGCCGTCTACTGCCATCTGCTGTGCAAGATACGCGTATCAAATAGAACTTTGTTGTCAAAAAATAAAAGGTGTTCTTATTATAATTTTTTAATAAAATAATAATTGAATTTTTGTTCCAATTTGAATTTAGATTGTCTGTGAAGTTTACTTATCCCTGGATATGCCACCCTTTCGCGCGGATAACCGAGAATATACTGTATATAATTAAAAAACAGATATTTCTTAAAAAATATAAAATGATAATAAATGGATAAAAATGTATTAATCATAAAAGTTTAATTCCACAAAAAGGTGTTTACAGAAATGAATCGAAAAGGAGCAAATACTCATATTAACATTCACATTTTTATTTATATCATTATTGTTATTATTATTTTTTTTTTATTTGACATGGAAGTGTTAAAAATGTAATCGTGGGAAAAACATTTCAAGAATCCCTAATAATTAAACACAGCCAATTTAATGTCTTAAATTTTGGTTAACATAGATTTTTATTTCTGTCATGAAGTATTCATTCAATTTAACAACCAGACTTTGGGCCAAAATGAAATGACCCTATGCTTAATTTTTAAAAGAATTTAGGTTAAGGCACAATTATAACATAGGGTTCAGCGTTACTGTGCTACATAATGGTAAAAAAAACTCAAGGGGAGCAAATAACTTTACTGCCCCCCCACCACTATGAGTACCCATAAATTCATATCATAATTATTTTGCCCTATATTAATAAATAATACATTAGATTTGTTATTATCAGGATTTAATATATATAGGTAACATTAAATTAGAAATATATATGCTACCTAGTAAAAATGAGTAAAAAAATAATAGTTATCTTACATTTATGTCCGCACCATTTTGAATTAAATACTCAACAATGTCCAAATGACCAAAATCGCATGCCTTATGTAACATAGTTCTGCCATTCGAAACATTATTTACATCCCAATTCTGTAACAACAATATAGTTTAAAATGTAATAATTTAAGTACCTAATATATCAATAACAGGCTATTTTAATCAATAAACAAAGCTTAACTTGTAAGTATTTAAAATTGAAACAATGGTTAATACTTGTACCTAGATCGACTTTAATAATAAATTATTTACTATAACAAATGATCTAGACCAATGTAATTTGATCTTTTGAACTATAAATTAGAAGATAAAAGTAATTAATTACTGATCGATTAAGAATAATTACCCCATTTTCTCTGGTAAGTCTCTGCAACTGTTCTTTGACTGTATCAAGATCACCAATTTGCAAAGCCCAAGACAAATCTTCGCCACCAAACACCTTATTCGTGTTTTCATTAGTACAAACTTCCATGTTTACTTAACACTAATATTAAAAAAAAAAAAATTATAATTTGGTAAATTTTAATTAACCAAAAAAGGTTAAAAGCTTGTATCACTTTTGATATACAGGGAACATAAGTATTACCTTGTAATAAAAGTTATAACGTATGTAAAATATTCACAATGATTAATGTAATCTAAGTATTAAGTCATCTTCCGTACAATAAAAATTATTATTATTCTTAAAAGAATTATATTTATTACTATATTATCGTGTTAAGTACATAATGATTAATTTTTTATCAATATAAAACTATTTTGTGTAATCATAAAATGCATAATATTCCTAGAAGTAGCAGCTGTTGATAAATTTCCAAAGATGTTGTAGCTGTACACAGGTGTAAATATTAATTATTATATTTTGATTAAAATATTATGGACTTTGGTTTTCACAAAATTCAAAATAAATCATGAAAATTGCAAACATTTTTCACATTTGGCTAGTATTTATTATTAGTAAATTAATAAATATTTTTTAAAAAAAAATGTGTACTTCCCCTACATATGTAGGTAGGTACCTAATAATAATAATTTGTTTATTAGATTTTCTTTTATCTTATCAAATCAAAAAATTGAAAAACGAAAGTAATATTCTGAAAACCTTATTGTGATACTGAAAAAATAATTATAATTGTATTTAAATTCGCTCGTCTTTGTTAACTTAAACGAATTTACCACTGCACTTTATAGAAAAAAAAAAATACTAACTTAATTATATTTAGGTATAAATATTTAATACTATAGGTAATAACAATATAATATTTAATTATTGTCGTCCACTGAAATTTTTGTATTATCATCTCCATCTAAAATAGCTGTTGATTTTTGTCGTAGTAAAATTATTTGATTGTTGAAGATCTAAAAAGAAAAACGAAAAACTTGGTTTTTAATTAGCTGATGGGACCAATTTGATATATAGGTGGCTAAGTATAGGTTAAAATTAACCTCAACTAATATCGATATATCATCGAAAAATATACTGTTATATACCATGCTACACAGTGGAGACGCGAGAGTAGTTCTGCGAGTTTAAAGACTCGCGTATTTTTTTTCAATTAGGCAGTGCTTGATTTGAGGAGCGACACGAGGAGACTGAATACCTTAACTAATTTTTTGGATATTCTAACGTACCAATACTTTTTTTTTTTAAAGAGGAACGCATGGGACGGGTTGTTATTTAAGTTGACCTAATTTATAAAATTGTTCAACTTAAATATTTGTGTTAAGAGGATGTTATTATACCCGCATATATCGTCTCAGCTCAACAACGAGCAATATAGCAAAATATACCTTACTCAGACTGCATAAAACTCACTTAATTTTGGTTTTAAATTAAAAGCTCCTATTATAAAAATAAAATAGAATATTATTCCGGAGGGAAATACTATGTGTTTCTTTGTTTAAATTCATTTTTTGAAATGTTACAATCATTTAAAAACGATGAATTAGTCTTTATTTCTAAACGATGTATTGGACGTTTTACTCGGAATAATAATTAGAATACTATATAGGTTAAACGCAACGTCTTGTTCTCCAGAGTACTGTTTTCTTTAATATTATAATAGTTAATTTCACTCTAAAACTGCAATGAAGCGAGTTTTTCGCAGTCTACGGAAGACTTTGCAATATCGTCCGTTAAATGGACTGAGACAACACATATGAGTATAACGTCCTTTTAACACAAATATCTAAGTTAAGCAATTTTATAAAAAGAGGTAATGTGAGGGATATTGAAATATTAGGGACGCTACCTACTTTATTAAAAGTAGCTATAGTACCTCTACTATATTATTCCCAAGCCAAGCAGAATAGGTGAGTAGTTGGCTTGGTCATCTTAGGTGGGCGTTAGATACCTAACTAGTGTCGTAGTCAATGGGAGAATGAAGGGGATATAATACTCAGAGCCTTTTTTCATATTAAATAATTTGCATTAGTATTTCTATTAGTAAAGAGATTTAAGAAATGATTAATGGTGGTCACAAACTCACAACTCAAAAGTGCTAGAACTAAATGACTTCGTTCTCATATTTTACGAAGTAAGTGTAATTACCCTAATCTAACCTAACCTACTGGCTACAGTAGTAGGTGGGAAGTTTAAAAGGTATAGAATATTTTAGATTCTGAGTGGACCGAGGAATGTATTGGTTTTACAATGATATTTATTTTTTTTTTTTTTTCTGTGGACAATTTTTCTTTCAGCAATTTTGCTTCGATCAACAATGATAGCACTTTTTCTAAAAAAAATCTGACTGGGATGGTACTCTAGGGAAGCAATTTTCTGAAAATAGGTACAGTATTAAACAAACATTGTTAAAGAATATATATATGTAAAGAAACACTATCAACCGAATTCTGCTCAGAATCGTTTTTCATTAGCAATGGTTAATCGTTGCGTACAGATATACATTAAATTTCCACTCTACTATATTTCTTAGGTATTGTTCACCTACTGCATTGGGGTAGCCCACCCACATGCGAAGTATGTAAGTTTTTTTTTTTGGAATTTCTTGAGAGTTAATTTCAATTTATAATAGAAAATATTACTATAAGATATTTTAAAATGTAATTAGAATGGTGGTGATCTATCTTACTAATACATTTGAATCGTTTTTATGCATAATAAAAGTTGTTTAGGTACTGATGAATAATTAATTTATTAATATACTAAAAATGGATAGGTACTTATATATTTTCCTACAGACAAATGAAGGTAACATAACATTTAGGTAGGTTATATAGGTGTATCATATTACTATTATATTAGACTGATCGTATATTGGTATAAGTACATATTTCCGAGTAGGTACCTACTCAAATTAGCAGTGATAAGTATTAGGTATCATATTAGATGAGTAGGTACCGCGGTACCTATTGAAAGTGATTGTGAAGCGTAGTGAACATACCTAACATATCCACTAACATTCAAAAACCACTCAACAATTTGGATTTAATTCGTATACAAATTGTCTATAATAAAATACAAGATGTCTTAAAATAATTTCTGCGTATGCCTCTATTTTACCTACGTACATTCAATGTTTTTGTATTCCAATTGAAACGGCTGACTTTTTCTTCGATTACTTTCGATAGTTCTAGAGATATTAATCCTTCAGAAAAAAAAAAATAAAAATTATCACGTAAAGATGAAATATTATTTTTCATAAAATAAAAAGAATACACATTCAAAAAATTAATTGGTGAACAACACGGCAGTATGTACGGCGTACCCAGAATTTTTCAATAGATTCACATAGTAATTGAAAATTATATAGGTATAATATTGCAAATCAAAAATACGAGTAAAATTTGTCTACATTTATAATACAGAGTGTATCTGCAGGATTAGCAAGTTATATTGCCCATGCATTTACATAGGAACGTTGCGAAACTAAATAGATACCTAAAGCATTTTTCTTGAAGTTATTTTTCAAAATATATCTGACCACCTACAGACCGGTGTCCAAAAATCAGCAAGTAGATACCTATATTAAACGTTTAATAAACGCCGAGGTCTCCACGATCAACGGTGGGTTTTGTGTTTACCAGTGGTTTACTTGAAATCACAGCATACCTAGCAACAAATGGTTTTTAAACATGGATGTTTAGATTTCTATTATCTACCTACCTATGCATTGCACATTGTATTTCCATAATATCCCTGTTTAAAATATTATGTTTGGTAAACATATAAATTTGGTATATAATAATCCATAGACAAAAAAAAAAAATAATCATAACAATATTCGCAATATTAATTTATTGCTCGATCATTCAGCGTATTTAAAGCGGCCAATCGGCTGTAAATAATCGCTTATTAAATGTCATATTTTCAGTTTAATTGCAAACTACTATAATTATAATTAAACAGCGCAGATTTAATGTAGAATAAATTAAAATATCGTTAGAATCCACCGTGGATTTAAAGTTTATGAATGTACAATTTACTATAGGTAGTGCACACTGGGGGAGGGGGAGATAGGTATCTACACGATTGTGTAGTATGATTTATTACTTGTATCTATTTTAGTTGTGTGCAGGTGAGTAATGATTATTATTTTATTTGTTATAGGAGCAAGGTTTGGACTGGCTAAGGTATTGGGATGCTGCGTTGCTACAACACCCCATGCCCTAAAATTGATTTGCAGTCCAAATCCGTATAGATTCGCCATAATTAATAAATAATAATAATAAATGAATCTACAATAAGTACGAACAATTCATATTTGTTGTAAAATGGTCGATATTCAATTCCCATACAATTTTATTATCCGAAGATTCCTAACCCCACCCCCTCCCTCGCCCCTTTCCCTGGGTACGCCACCGAATATACATTAATTTTGATTCATACCTAATAGTCGGCATTGACCCAGTCCGAGTTTGTGTATAAGGTCCAATAATTCAACACATGACTTTTCCTTGTAAAGCAATTGTTCAAGATTTAAACCTATACAAACCATTCAAATTGGTAATACACTTATGATTAAATTATACAATACAATATATTTAGTAATATAGGAAACGTGAGGTAAACCAACAATGATGCTCACTCGTATTCTTTGATTTCCATATGAATTTCAATCTTAAATCGACTACGTACGGACCATCCTTGCGAATATTAAACGCGTCTAGTATTGTTCTCAATGTTTTCGGGCAGAAAACGTTTATGCTGTTCATCAATGACTCGATATTTTTATAAAAAGATTTTATTTCAACGTGGGTCACCAATTTCGCGCACAGGCTACATTGCCAAAACGACGTCTTGTCTAACGGGTTGATTGGAAAAATACAACCGTCACAATTTTGTATTATACAATTCAATGCCGATAATTGTGTTCCGAATTCCTTTGGCCGGGGAGAAACAGAAAAACGTATTCATTTTATTATTCTAAGTATCTACTGCAGACATCGGTGAAGAACGGTTGAGCACAATTTGCGCAATCGTGTATATTTTAATAGCCATCGAAATACATACACGATTGCGCAAGATTTTAAATGAAATGGTGCCATGTATAAATAAATATATTACTACAACATTGTATATTAAAAAACGCGTTCTGTGTGAAAACCACAATTTAGCCACAACAAATTATTATCAAACTATGGTCATCTTGGAATGTGTAAAAATAATCATTTATTTCATTAACTGGTTGTTATGTCGTACACCGAGGTCGTATAACTAATACGTTATGGCAACGTTTCATTTAAAATCTTGCGCAATCGTGAATATATTTCTATGGCTATTAAAATATATACGGTTGCGCAAATTTCGCTCGATCGTGTTGTAGCCGCAGACATTTTTCAGTATGTAGGTAGGTAGATACCTATGTTTTATCTTACAACTCACTTTTGGATCGCAACATCTAATGCAGGTGCAAACGAATTGTTTCGACGTCAACAAGTGATTCTGTCTTATTGCCGTCGGCCAAATCAAGTGCGTATAAGTCGTGGTTATTTCTTGGCCTTTGTGAATCGGCAGCGAAGCTTTCACGGTCATTTTGAAAGTTCCGTCGAAATTGTGCATAGTGTTTGGAACGCAACTATGGTTCATGAACGAAGCTACGGGATACAGGCCTTTTAAACTTATTAATTTATCGCGGCGATAAGTTATCGTTTCGAAACAATTGGCGTCCATAATTTTGCACGCCACAGTCATTATTCGTTCGTCGTCCTCGGTTAATTTCATATTTATGTTTTTTTTCAATTCTTCTACCTAAATCGAACGTTTCAAATAGTATCACGTTAATTAACTCTTGCAGCATAATATTAATTTCGCTTGTTGTTTATATATATACAGGGCGTAAGTATACTGTATACTCACCTCAAACACTGGCATGTCCGTCGATTTCTTTTGGAGTACGTCTAGAAAACACGCGTACGGTCCGTCCTTGAGCACTGTAAGCGCCCTGACGGCCACGATACCGTTATAAAGGCCCGCGGACCATCGACCGGCACCAGTTTTCGGGCCCATGCTACGGACGTACCGGCATTCGTCGGAATGTCCTGGGTGTCGAGCGCACGGACCGCCGCAAACCGGCAAGCCGCATCCACCCGGACAACCGGCTAACGCGGTCGCGGTCGTGTAGCACACCGGACACACCGGCGGCGGACTCGCCGGGCCCGTCACCCTGGGCGACACGATCAGCGGCGTATCCACGAATAACACGTCACCGGGCTCGTAGTCCTTGGTGGCGACCAGGCCGCGGCCCGCAGCGACTACCGTAGCGTCGCCGCCGTCGTCGACCGCGGCTATCGTCCATCCGTTGTACGAGACTCCGTTATCGGCCAGGTACGCGTCCACCGAGCTGTTAACAAAATCCATCATGTCGCCCTAATGGATCAGTAGGTGTAGAGGTACCCGGGGGCAGAGGCGTGGGTGCTATACAAGCAGTGATCGTACGCTCTTTATGTATCGCATCGGCACTGTAGAAACGTTATACCGCGACAGTAGTACCGGCACGAAGTAGTGTCGTATAATAGTGTGCGGCCTTGTGCATCGCACATAACGACCGTAATCGAAATAGAATTCATCGTTGCGCGTGGATACTGCAGGTAGGTAATCGCGGAGTGTAGGTATAAACGAATGATGGGCACCGGCCCAACCGTAATGAGACGTAGGTAGATGGTAGATACGTATCGGATGTTCGACCCGCGTTGCTCTTGGCACCGTATCAGAAGCTAGTTTATTTGCAGAGTATTATCGAAGTATTTGGTATTTTATAGGCGTACAACTTCAGCGGTTATTCGAATAGTTCGATACGGATATTTTAAATGAGACGCCGCCGTGATCGTGTCCGTTGTCAAACGAGAAATTTGAAATCCGAAGTTGTAGACGAATAGTCAATTGTACCTATGTAACCACTCTACCTATTCACATTTATAATGTAGACATACCAAACACTGTAAGACTAATTAATCGGGCAAGTTAGTTAGGAACTCAACATTTTTGACTAGAAAGGTATCAAGTTGACTGCTCAGACAATGTGTAGGTATCTCGTCAGTGGCGTAGGTGGGGTGTTATAGGTGTAGCAACACCCTCCCCCTCTACCCGTTGATATGAGTGATCCCTATTTATCGTCTCCGCCACCGTTACAATAGTGTATATTTCGTTATTGAATTATTTAATAATGGTTAAAGAAAATGTTCTTTTCAAAATTAAATGTCGAGAAAATAGCACCAATATTGTACAGATTGGTAGGTTAGTACCTACACCCTTATGATCTTGTCTGTAAGTTTGATAGCAGATCAATTTATTCTAATATTAAAACAATACTTAGCCCAAATTAGTCCCTGCCCGAGAATGCTAATATGCTATATCGGAGAACGTCTTCTTAAGTGTATAACTAATGAATAGGTTTGATAATGAAAACAATTTTATATTGTTCATAGCACCCCCCACCCTGTGGAAATTCTTGGCTACGCGCCTGTATCCCGTTATAAAATAAAATAGTTGTTACTCACTATAACGTTGCAACTTAGATAGTTAAGACAGATTTGTTTGATTCTCTTATTTTGAGGTAATGGCTCAAAATAAATTATATCAATATCTGTAATGTACTTCACCTGCCTTCTCTTGCAGAACGCAAAAGAATATTAAATTTAAAATGTATTCGTCGTCTAATGACAAACCACATTAATTTTCCATCTTTGCTATTCTAAATAAATTTTAAATATGTTCACATTGGTATACCTCATTTTCATATCTTCCATATTCCTAGATCCAATACAAACCAAGTATTCACAAAATGAGCTTGTGTGATGTATTACCTAAGTCACTTGTCAATAAGAACAAATGATGGTTTGTTTTAATATTTTTACTATTTTGTATTTGTTCTAATTTTGTCTGATTTTAATTTTGAATGTATTTTATATTATAATCTACATTGCCAATATAATATTCTAATGTAATAAAAAAAAAAACTTACCAAAGTTAAGAAGTCCCTATATTGTAATAAGTTTTGAAATAAATTAATTTTTCGACTACAAAATATAGGCAGTACATTAAATGATACATGTATACCCTATTATTTAGTCTCATTTTATTTCTCACCTTTGTTATGTTACTTGAAGATTATTTTTTTAAATCGAAAACAGTTGTAAATCCACATCCAATTATAATACTCAAAGCTATTTTTTTTGCGTTTAATTTTTTTTTTTATAAATTACAATAATGTTAACTTGATTAATTAACTCAATTTGTACAAATTATTCAGGATAGTTAAAAACGTTTGTTTGATTCGTTATTATTAAATATCAGAATATTACTTTGTTAATAATTCAATTATTTTTACAATTTGTATAACATTAAACAAATAATTTATTCAAAAAATTAAATTAAAAAAATAAGGAAAATGTTAAGTTATAAGGGTTTGGCACATAGCTGTTGACTTGTATTGATTCTGAATCTATTTGTTGACAAATAAACACACAAGTACGTATTATACCTATGATTTATATAGTAAAGTAATAATACAAAGTTTCAGTAGATATTAAACAATTTAGATTGTGTTATGAGCAGTTAGCATGCAATCTTCAGAAAATAATATAGAAAATTAAGTATCAGTTAAAATACTATGCAAATTGAAATAACTCAATAAAATTGTCATTGAGTAATAATATTATCATGTTTATTTTTAACATTAAAAATTAAATACATTTTTTTATTATAAATTGGTTGTACATTTTTGTTTATTTTTATTAATCTTTTAATTTAAATAGCATGTAAATATAGTATATTGAGTAAATTTTTTAAATATAAATTATAGAATAAATGATATATTCTTTCAAGTAGGGTTAGGTTTTGGACCAGTCAAATTATTTTGTTAAATTTTATTGTAATCAAAATCCATTAATTAAAAAATTAACTGTTGTGAAATAATATTTTTAAATTGACTATAGTTTGACTTCTTATTTGACTGAATACCAATTCTATTTTAAGATGGATTTGTAATTTGTTTAATTATTATTTACCAACTTATTAACTTATATATATGTATGGGTTATAATTAATTTGGAATACACTCAAACAGTGTATTGTACTGTTTGTTACTTTAGATTTAATGTGCAAATTCTAAATAAAAAAAATAAATTACAGGTGATATAATAAGGACATAAATGCATATACTACTCTGTTAATATTATTAAGTTAAATTTTTTCATTGTAAAAAAAAAAAAAAATTATATAAATAACTTTAAAATTAATATTATTGTATAAATTACACATATAATATAGTATTGGTGTACTAATTGATACTATTATAATTTATAATTTTGATTTCATAAATAAAAAAAAAAATAAATACACAATACGTTCAAATAAATAAATTGTATATTAAACAATATTATCAGTTTATTTGTGAATTTCTTTAGGAATCTTTAAAATTAACTAATATTACTACAACCATGACTATATTATACACATAATATTATAATTATTATTATAGATTTTGTGCAATAGTATTAATTGTATACATTTTTGGTTCTATGAAATATTCAAATTAAAAGACACTGGTCACAGCTAAGTTCAATATATAAAACAATTATATCTATTTTAAACAATGATATTTTTAATAATATAAAATTATACTACAAAACCAGATGTTAAATTAACAATAATAATAATAATAATTAAAAAATTACAGAAATTATTAATTCACAATACTCATGATACTATATACTGTGATAAATGAATTTTAAAAAAAATTGATATAATACAAAAAAGGAAAAGGAAAAAAACAATATTCTTAATTTATAGTAATTACTAACTACTAAGGCAAGGATCGGGCCACTAAAGTAAAAGTAATAAATAAATGTATATAATTCATTAAAATATAACTCTAAAGATACAATTTTCTTATAAATAATAATAAAAAAATAGATAGGCTGTTTATCTATTAGATCTATAAAAATGTCTACTTTCATAATATAACAGATTTGAGTAATTTATTTACACTATTAATTTATTCATAGGATAATACAATAACCATAGTTAGCAGTTTCTAGTTTAAAATTGTTATTATTATTTACTGAAATATATTAGAAATTAGTAATTACACTTAAATGTTGAAAATAATTAAAAAATGTAATATAATAAAAATAGGTGTAAAATTATTACAGTACCATTGCAAAATGTAAGCAAATGGCTAAAGTAGAAAAGGATAGATAACAGTGCTATCCAAAGGCCAGACATCTGACCTATCTATTTCTTATTGGTTATTATACATGAATCTGTGTAATTCTCAGTAGTAAGAAGACATACGAAATTGTAAAAGTGGAAATACAATAATTTAAATAGGATTATATTGTGTTGTATAAATAACTTAACTATAATACAATTTTAATATAAAATAATACTACCAAAACTTTTTTTAATCTAGATGAGAAGTTATTGACATAGATGTAGAAGTAAGAATACTTTGACCAATATCCATAAATGTCTATAATGGCAGAATTAACTTATCACTATTATTTTTTTGTAATAAATTGGTAAATGGTACTTGATTAGTTTTTCAAGGCTGGTAGAATACTTTTGGAGAATCTGTAGACCCTTCAGTAAATAATTTAGGATGTGAATGTTCATATATAGTTTCCGAAACATTCATTAATGAGTCTGATGTCAAATTTTTCTTCGCTGGATAATTTATACTACCTATAAAAACAAGTTTTTAAATATATTATATTAATCCATTAGAACTTTTAATATAAAAATAAATATCATTAATATATTTTTTTTTAATGTCTACTATTTAATATGAAATAAAAATTTATCCTTAAGTGGATACATAAAGTTATTTAATTTATACCTTGTAACCATAAAATTTAAAATTCTCATCAAAATTTGATATAACAATTCTTATAAAAAAAATTCTATATTACACCCAAATTTTTTTTTGGACCAGAATGAACCTCCTATCATATTTTCAAGCATTTCTGTTTAGTCTAGCAGTTTTATTCATAGAATACCTACCAAATTAAAATGTCTAAATTTTTTTTAAAATTTAACTAAAAGGTATATATAAGTTTTTTGTTAAAATGTCTTTAAGAATATATTTAACTGAATTAAAACAAAAAAATAAAATTGAAAATAATAACACCAGTTTTTCGGTTTTTTAAAAAAAACTACAGGGAAAATTAAAACAGACTTTCTTATTCACCTACTAGATTACAAACGCAACAAGAAAGATTTACTGTTTTTTTTTTTATTGGAGCAATATTTCTTGTAGAGAATATAGTTGATATATTAAACATAGTGAATATATATCATTTTACCTATGATTATTTTTCTGCTTTTTCCAGATTATTATAAAAATTGATTGGAAAATCAAAAAATGACCTGCTCAAGCACCAACTAGATAAAATTTCCTTTTACAAGAAAGGTATACCACTTTAAACACCAGAGCAAGTTTTCTGTTTGAAAATTTGCCCAGACAAAAAAAATAAACATATCAATGTAAAACTAATAGATCCCTCAATATGCTCCAAATCTAAAATTCTGACCAAAAACCATGACAAATATTAGTATTAAGACAAGAAAAAAAAATAGTTTTTAATTAAAACTAAAAAATAAACAATGCTTTAGTGAATGAAACAATGAAAAAAAATATTTCTTACGTCTTCTATAGTAACTAATGTAAAATTGAGGATGTTTTATCCACCCTAAAAGATTGACATTATTATGTTTTCTCATCCAAATAGGGTTTTCATCCTTATCAGGATTTGAACTATCACCATCATCACGTGGTTTTAAACAAAACAATGGCCACAATTTGTTGCCATAGAATGTACCAAAATATTCAGAACAAACTATTCTAACTGATTCTTCTGATAAAACATTGGTACGACATCTCATGTGATATTTTTTACATTCCTGAAATACATACTTAACTGTAAAATTAAAGCTTAAATAATTTTATTGATCATATTTTATCACCCTTAATAAATAAAACAATCTGTATGTAACTTCAGCTTGTATAAGTTTTATAGCAGATGGTGTTAATTTTAAATTTGGTTGATTTGCTTTAAGATTTCCATTGTGCTCATCTATACATATATGAATAGATTTTTCTGAAATAACTAATTTGTGTTTTCTTTCTTTCAATGGGATTTGTTTTATTTTAGAATCTGCAATTGTATCATTTTGAGTTTTAGAAGTAGGAGGACGGTTTAGGGACCGAACATTAGGGGGGATTTGTTGTGGTGTGACTTTTCGTAATGGAGTGTTTTGTCGAATTGGAAATCTGGATGGTGGTACATTTTTTAATACCTGTAAATATGTTAATTACATTCAATCATAATAAGGTTTTGAAATAATTTAATATACACATATATTTGATCACTTGCTGTTGTATATTTACCGGTTTGAGAATTAATCTATAATCAACTCCTCTAGGTAGGCGAGGTGTTCCAACATTAGTTGTTGCTGGTCGATAATTTGCTGGTAATATAACAGAACGAATTGAGGTTTGAGGTAGTTGACCAACATGCACATTAGCTCCAGGTTTTTGAGCCTTTTGGGCCATTTGAGGAATTTGGATAATATTTGTATTGAGCTGTTGAATATTTGAAACTGGAGTATTTGATATGTTTGGTTTATCATTTGAATTTGCAACCTATAAAATTCAAAAATGATTTTTCAAAAAAATACCTTTAAAAAAAAAAAAATTAAATATACTGCCATATGTATCTATATTGTATACATTATACCAATATTATAGGTAAATTCCAAAGGGTTGCCTAATACATTTGAGTGATATGTGAAATTTGTATAATTAAGTTATGTTTAAATTATTTATTATTATTAACTATCTAGAAAAAAACAAAAGCTTTATACACTTTTTTGATAGTGAATTTTTTTTAGTGTTTATCATTTTCATTAATAGCATTACAACTTAGACCATAGCTGATAATGTATTTTACAATATAATATATAAAAAAAAAAAATTATAGTCATTTGTTAAATTTACACTACCTACTATTTTTTCTATTACTACTTATATAATTATCATAATATTATCTTTGATAATTTTGATTTTATGTAAACAAAATAAAATATATTTGCTAATTTAAAATTAATACTACCATCTGTAAAATTAAGTTTTAACTAACTATCTACATAATTCATAATTTTTACATTCCCTACATATATGAAAGAAAACATGTCACGACCCATATTTTATTCTAAGGAACGGATTTATATTTACTTAAAATCCACAAAAAAGCTCTTAAAACTATCAAAACAGTTTTAAAAAACAAAACAAAAATAATTAAGAGATTTAAAAGTTCCCATCTAATTTATTAACAATAATTTTATAACATTACAAAAATGATTAACACAAAGTAATTTTTTTCAAATAAAATTGTACCTATTAAAAAATAAAAATATTTTATGTTTTAAACCCTTCTACCATATTTGCTTTTTTTAATATTTTTTCAGGGCTTTTTATTGATGATTTCAAACTCTTTTCTTATGGATTTTAAGTGCAAATAAATCCATTTTGTATTGCTAATCAGATAATGAAACTAAATATTGAAAATATTTTACCCCCATACCACTTAAACAAATTTCTGAAGATGCCCTTGCTTGTAGGTACCAAATTATAAAGTATTTAAATTTATAATTGTTTTTTCTTGTAAATAACTACTATAAATTTTGTCTTACTTGAGTAGGTAAATTTAATGAACTCAATAATAATTTACAATCAGTGCCTTGCTGTGAATTAACAGTATTTGTTCGGTAATTTGATGGTAAAATAACTGAACGAATAGATTGATGTTGGGGTTTTTGTTGTTGTATATCAACATTAGGCTTTATCAAAGTTCCTGATTTTTGAATCAATGGTATTGGCATGTAATTCGGATTTTTTTGTAAATTTGAAATGGAGACATTTTTATTATTGCTCCAATCATTTGATGTTAGAATAATACTCGGCCCAGGTTTTGGTTCATTCGGCTCTGTAATTATTAAATTTAATTAAATACTAAGGTATGCATTTAATTTTATTTGAATACTTACTAGTTATAATGGAAAGTTTTGGAGGAGAATCATTGCCTTTAAATTGGCTGTAATATGCTGCAGCCGCTAATTTGGATTTATTTACTCCAGGTTTTTGAAAAACTGGAGGTGTAACACCAAGAGTTCTGGAAATCTCACTTCCTGAAGCTGCTGAAACATAATACAATAATTTATACTATTATCTAAATATACTGTTTATTATATTATTAGTTGTTTAAACTCACGGCTGTTAACCACCTCTGAAATAGTTAAATTACTATTTTTGGAAGAAGTTTTTTGAGAACTTGATGTTCTAATGATTTGTGCATTTGGTCTTTGATCTCCAGCTACAGTAGTAGTCATCACATTATTCATTCTTACAATATGAGCACCAGACGGTAACATGTAAGTTACATTTGACGATTGAGCAATCGAAGATGGTATAATATGCCTTACGCTGTTTGTACTTGCTAACTGAGGTACGGTTGTTCGAGAGGTAGGTTGTTGAACTACATATTGATGTGTTCTTGGTGAAACAATTGGGGATTGGCAAGTAACTGGTGATGAAATTTTTAACACCGGACAGTTGATTGTAGTATGTGGTGGTTGACCAGCCATTTTACACCAAAAAATTATGATTATATTTTATTTTTTATTTTTTTTCACTCACATTGATTATTTAAACACGAAAATAAACATAAAGTATATATATGTATATTCTGAATAAATTAAAATTAAATTAAATTTTTATAAAACATTAAAGAATTCAGTATTTAGTAATTTAGTAAATTTTAAAAATCAATATTACTATCATTGATTGCCATTCAGATGTGGTTATTATTGTTATCAGTTATCACTATTTACCTCAATACCTGTTGTAGCAGTAGGCACTGAACCTTAGACATGAGAGTCTCATTTTATTCGCGATTGAAACGAAATGTTGGTAGCAGTTAAAGAAGTGATGAATACTTGTCTATGCTTTGATGGTATTAAATATTAATAGTACAAACAGCATATTTAATTCTGTTATGAAAATCATATCAATATTATAATAGAATTAAATGTATACCTTCCGCTAATGATATTTGATATTAAAGCTCAGTGGTTCCCAATTTTGTAGACAATGTTGCCCATATAACTCCTGATTTGATTTCTAATAGTTTAACAAGTTGCTTACCCAACACCTAAAAATTAATTTTTAATCAATTCCACTAACGTCTAATTTTGTACATATATTGCTTACTTAGATACTAAAATAATTGTTCAACGTGTCTGTTTATTGCCTATCATATTTTCAAAATATTCTATTGCTATTTGAAAAAATATTTCTATAGGTACCAAACATAATAGGTACACAAAAACATTGCCAATATTTTATTCATTCAGGACCTATAAAAACTAATGACATTCTTAATGACAATTATAGGTACCTACCTAGTTTATATTAAACAATAATAAACAGTTAAACAATTTTGAAAGTACAATGAAACTTGTTTATAATGGATAGTCGCGGGACTATCTTTTTGCCGGGACCTTATACTGTCCATTAAGAGAGGTGTCCTTTATATAGAGGTGTTCGTTATGACATGTTTACATAATAAATATAAAGAAAGTAAATATTTTATATTAATAATAAGATATATAATATGACAATGGAATTGTAATTTTTTAAGAAGGAGTTATTTAGATTCTGAGTGGAGCGAAGAAACTTATAGTTTTATAAAGATGATTTTTTCTTTGTTATCTGTGCGCAACTTTACTACCAGAATACTTGATTTGATTTATACGTGTAGCAACTATTCTAAAAGGAAATCAGCATGGAAAGGTACTTAAAAGAAGTCATTTTTCGATTTTTATATAATTTTTCTCAACAAAATTTAAAATAAAATATATTACTAATTTTTTTTCCTGTGCACAACTTTTCAATCAGCGATTTTGCACCAACTGATAACAATATCCTTTAAAGGAAATTTAACTAGCGAGTTATTTAAGAAAGGTCATTTTTCGATTTTCCCAAGAGTTATACCAGTAAATGTGAAAAATCTGTACAACATGAAAAAAATATTATTAAAGAAAATATATAAAGCCTATTTAATTATTTTACTAAAAAATGACATATATTATATATACATATAAATAAACAATTTTGACTCCAATCTATAAAACAGGTGACCCCACAGAGCTTACAAATTATTTTTCTAATCGATAAGCGTCTATATTAAATCGGGCACCAAATTCGATCATTTCGTTTAGTTTTTATCGCCTGCGTAACTATCTACTGTTTATCGCTGAATGTTAAGGGAAGTTCCGGCTGGGGAAAACCTTAGCGGAGTACATTGTCTGAAAGTAGACTTCACGACCTATCGTTTGTTTAAATGAAATTGTTCCTAATCAATATTCTTCTATTATCAATTGGGCTGCAAAGAAGACAGTTTCAGCAGGTTAGTGTGAAGTTATGCTACTACTTAAATATTTTTGTTTCGCGTCTATTGTTGATATCATAACGTGCATTATTTATTGCCTATTTAACGCCTTCGATTCAATTTTCATGCATTTTTAGAACCACTGGTTTCTCTCATCAAATATTGCTAGTGGAACATCCGTAAATTCAATCAATTCATATATTAAACATTTTAGTAGTTATAATACCTAACAGTGTTCATAGAAAAAGTTGAAAAGGTGTTTTTTCATTTTATAATAATTTATAATTAGGTGGCTACCTAAATACTAAATATTGCAAGTATTTACACAATATTTTAAACAAAAAAATAAAAATTAGGTAGGTACCTACAGTTTTCTGGTGATATGTCATTTATATGTTACTTGTATAATAAAACTAATAGATTATAATATCTATGTTATACATCTACTATATTATAATATATAATATCTAATATATTTAACATTTTTTTCTACAGAATCTATAATTATATGTTGTGTATTGAGACCTTCAATAGTTTTTAATTTTAAACTTATGTTCATCAATTTCATTAACAATTTTATTTAATAACTTCCTAATGCCTATATCATTGTTATTTTAAAATAAGTATTTATATTAAATTGTTTTTAATGTTTATATTTCAGTTCAACTAAAAACTACCTTTATCAAAAAAAAAAGTTCATAACGAACCACACCTATCTTAAGTAAGTAGAGAATTTATTTAAATTTAAAATCAAACATATTTGAAAATTATCAAACTAAAATATAAACAGGATATGATATTAAATAAGATGAAACTAATTAGTTTTATGTGTATCTATAATATGTTTTATACTGCATTATTTGCTTTAACAAGTAATTTTAGGTTTTAGCCAAGTTAACTGGCATTGTGCAAATATTCCCTTAATTTAGTATTTAGTGGATACTAATTTTTATACTGGACATCATAAAAATTGCAGAATAGACTAAAACAGGGAAGGGGAAGATTTAGACTTGCAAATTAAAAAAGAACATTCTCTGATATGTAGGTATTATATGTATGCTGATACACTTTTTTTTATATACTTAGATACTCTAATAAATAACTTTACTAAAATAAAATGTGTCTCCAGTATATTGGCAATAAAACAAAAATGAATGATAGTCATGCTGTAGGTTTTTGCACCACACTGATATCAAACGATGAGCATTAGTATTTTATGATGAACCACTGGTGTATTCAAGTAGACCGATAAACTAATCAATAATTGTAGATACAGGAAATAGTTCTTCTAAAAGGCATGGTGTGAACACAGATAAAAAATGTGTTTAAAATAGTACTAAACAACTTTGTTTAAATTAAAAATTTGTTTTGTCATAATATCAGCTATACTATCTGTTTTATAGAGTTTAAATAAGAGCAGAATTATAATACTTTTTCTGGGATTTTTTTTATAAAATAAAGTAATTTTATATAATCATCCCAAGGATGATTAATCCCTATAGAAAAAAAAAAAAAAATGATTAATAATATTCATTATATTTTAATGAAATACATTTATCTTGTTATCAATTTCTTATTGAAAATTGGGTGGTAAAATCGATATAAATTTGTGTTCTACATTATCAGCAAAATAATATTTGTATATCATTCTAATGAAAATTTGTTTAGTGCCTATAATATGCTTTTTGGATTTCTCGAAATTGTGGTTAGGTGAGTAATAATACTACAGGTGTCATCTTTTCAATGAATCAGACAAATGTTGATCTATTGGTAATATTCTTTTAAAAAAATGTCTTCTTCCAGTTTGTCTGTATTTTACCATCAATTGATTGCTATTTGATACAAAGTTGTTTAACACTTACATAGGTATTAGCCAACAATACTTTTTAACTGTCATAAATATTTAACAAAAATATTATCATCGTATCATGTACTTACTACGGTTATAATATATTGTATATTATATTAAATATAATAATATTTTACTTTATATTTAATTTTGTTTATAATTCCAAATATTTTGAAGAAGGTATCTATTCAAAAAAAAAAAAAAAAATGATGAAAAAAACTGAAAAACCAGTAGGTAGCAGTAGTGGTAAAAATCGGTCATGCAGAGGTTTTTATAAAAACACAATATTTTACTGGAGCTATTTTA